ATTAATCATATTTATAATGTTGTTATCTAAAAGTTTTTACCGATCGAAAGAGAGAAAGAATACACATTACTTCTCTTTAAGAAATTCACTTGAAGTTTTATATTTTTTTAAAGTAAGAAAGCTCAACTTTGGTTATTTTAATATTTTTATTAATGATATAAATTGCTTATAAAATTTTGATATTAGGAAAATGTAATTAATAAAGCCAGATTTTGTCTTATAATAATAACAATATTATGAAAATACTTCATTCAGGAAAAACGATTACAAAGCCTGAACATCGAAAAATCAATTTTATTAAGAAAACATATTTTACGCCAAAAGAACCTATATCTAATGAAATTAAAACTATGTACTTGCAAAATTAATTGGGTTATGTATATTATATTAAAGAACTTACTATAGAAACAAATAATTTTTGGCTATAATAAAATTCAAAAAAACATATTTGTTTTTGATTATATTTTAATTTGATATTTAATTTAACAAATATTAAATAATTATTTTTATTTATTACAATATAAATTTGCTAATGAATGTACTCGTATATTATTTTTTTACAATCACTTTTTACAATATAAATAAAATGTGGTTTGTTTATTGTTTATATATATTATAGCTATACTTATCAGACAAACATTTAGGATTTGGGATTTGTCCTGGACAAATGGAATTGTCCGGTCAAGTCTAAAATCCCATATGGTAAACCGGTCAAATCCCAACCCCAAATCCCAAAAATTTGATGCTGCCCAAAACTATTTTGGGCCAATAACCGAACCGAAACTAAACCCGAAAGTCCGAAACAACGCGCCTAGCATTGCCACCAAAATCAGTTACGTAATCGCTTTTTAAATTTCAATCTGCGCACAAATCACAAGATTTTTGAAGAAATAATCGAAGTTTTTTTTATTATTATTATATTTATTTAACTTTATTAGGATTTATTTAATTATCACTACAAGTTATAAGTCAAATTACACTCAAATTCAAATGTATAGAATGCATTTTCATCCAAATTCAAATTTTATTTAATACACGTATAAAGCTTCAAATTTGAATTTTTTATGTTATTAATAAAAGGTACTTTGTTTCATCCACTACAAGCTTTTTGCTTGTTCAAAATCTTTAATGTCATCTATTTTTTTGAATAGGGTTAAAGTTCGATTCAATTCTTCCGAAGCCATGTTTTTTGTTTGGGACTTTTCAAGACAATCAAGCGGCTAAAACATAAAATTAATAAATAAATAATAAATTTATTTAAACATGGAAATATAATGAAAAAATTTTTATACCTCATGAAGAGTAAATTTCAGATTCGGATTCACTATCTTCAGTACTCGATTCTTCATTATTTATATTTTGGTTTCTGAATTTACCAGATCGATCATTAAATTGACTTGTGTGTAATTGATTAAGGTTGATATTCGAATATTTTTCCATAAAGTTTCTTTAGCTTCCGTAATGTGAGAGGATATTGGGAATTGCATTGTATCTAGAGATTAGGCCCGGTATAAAATTTAGCTCCGGGTTACCCGTCTGCTTATTAAACCCTTACCCGGGTAATGACCCGGTTAATCCAGTTGATCCGGTTGACCCGGTTAACCCGGTTAACCCGGTTATGATTATGTAAGAATTACCAGAATTAGCTTTCACGTGTTTGCAACCTTCAAGATCGTTAAGGTTACAATTATTAATTCTTATCATTTAACACTTGCAAAACGTATTTTATTTAAAAAAAAAGCGAATACATGTTTGAAATCTAGAAAAATAAAAAGTCTACTTAAAGGGTAGGATAATATAAATATACTTAATACAAGTAACTCTCGATATAAGAAACCTTTGATATAAGAAACCTTTGATATAAGAAACCTTCGATATAAGAAACCTTTGATATAAGAAACCTTCAATATAAGAAACTTTCGATATAATAAAGATTTTTGCAAGTCCCAATTAAAAATTCTATAATAAAAAGCTCTTGATATGACGATATAAGAAAGGTTTTGACTGGACCCGGCAACTTTCTTATATCAAGATTCACTTGTATAATACTATAAATATAAAATTTTAATTATATAATACTAATTATCTCGTCATTTCTTTTTAGAAACAATATTTGAGAAACAAGATCTGGACTAAGACAGGTTCATTTTTGAGTTACTTGGTTACTTGCATCAGAGAATAACTGTTCACTAGGCACTGAGGTAGCTGGTATAGATAAGTATTTCTTGGCTAATTTACTCAACTTTGGAAAGTATTTTTCATGTTATTTCCACCATTCTAAAGGTTTAATTGTTTTTGAAGTAATCACAATATCCAAATATTTATCTAATTCGTTATTATCATCTAATTGATTATCAATATCATTATTATCATCAAATATTGATACAAAATAACAATTAGTTGAAGTTACATTGGAAGAAGTGGTTTGAATAGGTATTGTATCAGTAATATTGTCAAGTTCTTGATACATACTCTTATTGCTGTTTCTCTTAGACGATTAGACATAACACGTATTTTTTTAAGTCTTGGGTCCAGCAAAGTAGCTAAAAGACCAGAATGTTTCGGATTGCCCCAATATTTCCAAAGAGAATTACAAATAGCCTGCTTAACTTGAGTAATTATTATTTGAATATTGTGGGTCTCTAGTATCTGAACTTCTTCATTTTCACTGTCTTCACTATCACTACTGCTATCTATATTTATTATAAAAGGTAAATATTAGTAATTTTGTAAGAGAAAGTTTTTTCTCTTTTTTTTTATTATTATTTTTTTATTTTATTTTTTTTTTAACTTCTTGTTTTCTTTTTCTTTTTATTTATATTAAATATATAAAAAATTACCATATTCTTCATTAAGGTCTTCCTCAATTAAAGTTAAATTCGGATCTGTTGCAAATTCAAGTTTTAAGACTTCGATAATAGGATACACAACTAATAGTGTAGGATACTTTTTAGCACTAAATGCTTCAGTTGCTTGGTCAAATGGCTCAAAGATTTTAATTAATTCTTTGATTAACTTTTATTCATTCTCACTAGGCAAGCACCGTGCAAGATTTTGGTCATCTTTTTTATCATCTAAATGCCATAAATTTTTAAGTTGGCTTCTAACCAAATAATTGCATCTTTTAGCTTTATAAGCCTTTCCCAAGACCGATATGTGGAATTCCATCGAGTCAGACAATCTTTAATTGGACGAAGTATTTTGGAAGTAGTGTTTATATTTAATTGTTCTGAATCTGTACTATCACCATTATTAACTTCACCATCCTCTTCCTCTTCAAAATAAAATTCATTATTAATTAAATTTGATAAGGACAACCTATCTCTTTCCATAACTATTCTTTGGGCTTTCTTGTTGTTTAGGTGAATCGAAAAAATGAACCTTTTTTTTGTATATAGGTTACTTTTTTTAAGAGAATAATTAACAGTTAACTGCAATGTGTGCGCAGCACACAGAAGCCAGATAATAGAATTCCATAATCGAATTGCTTTTACCATATTTGTGCCATTATCAGTAATGGCGCATATAATTTTATTTTCTAAATTAAATTTAAAACATTTATTTTGAAGAAATTGGTGTATAGATTCTGCAGTATGTGGGTATGCTATTTTTTCACAACATAGTAATACACTACGAAGTATCCAGTCAGGAGTTACCCAATGACAAGTAACTCCAATATATCCTTGATTATTACACGATGTCCACAAATCAGTGGTTATTGTAGCAGTTTCACAAAATAAGTCAATCTCATGCTGAAGAATAGTAATGTTTTTTAAATAACTTAAAGATATTTTATTTTTTACCACTCTATCAAAAGGTGGACAAAATTTTGGATCAACTTTCGCTATTATGCAATGAAATTCTTTTTTTCTTGATGCAGATAATGGTTTATTATCAAGAAGTATCCATTCAATAACTGCTTTATTTAGTTCTTTATACCTATTACCTTTATATAGAGTACTGGATTGAATTAGCTCAGTTATTGTAGTTTGTCGACTTTGTTGATTTTGTTGGGTTTCAGATGTTAATTTTTTTTTGTCTACAATTTTATGCACTGTTTATAGATGTGAAATCATATTTGATGTTGAACCGTCATGAATATAATCAGCTCCACATATTTGATCTTCACCTTTTTTCTTTACTATAACATGACATATATCTTTCTTATCAATTACTTTGAAATATTTCCACACGAAGCTTGGTTTATTTTTATTTCTTCTTTTTTTAACACTGGCTAATGTGTTTGTAACAAAGGGTATACTGTTATTATTTTCACTATCACTTTCATCGGTAAATACATTTTTTTGAAAACCTGAACTAGATTCGGTTTGAGATTTGTTTTGGAATTCCATTTTTTTCAGTTTATTTATATGAAATAATTTTGTAATATATTTAATTTATCAAAGTATGAATTTATTAATACGATTAAATATTGATTTATAAGTGATAAATTTATGAATTTTCAAGTATAAAAAATTTAAAGCCGTTGAGTTCAAATTTATTTTATAGAACTAAATTCTGAAGATTTATTTAAAGTCAAAAAATGGTGTTTAAATATATTATCCAAATACTATCTTTTTTTTACAACTGATTTGCTATTACTATTTTTCTAATTCTTTTACCCAAAATACAATCTTAAACATGCTATCATGTTTCTTATATTAATTTTTAATCCATTATGATTCCTTGCTAGAGTTGCAGGTGAAACTAATTAATTTCACCAAGTGAAACTGGCAAAATTGGTGCACTAACGGTACACCTTAATAGCCAATTTAGTAAGACTTGTAAAATGGTAATAATGGTGAAACTGATAACATTGATAGTGACAATATTACTAATATTATGAGTTTTACTAATATTACAATTTTTCACCAATATCAACAGTTTCACCTACAACTCTATTCCTTACGCCCATTTCTCTGATATTCATATCTCCTCAAATATTGTCTTACTTATTCATATGCACTTTCGCCACAATTTATAATTGATTTTTTCTTTAACCTATTATGATATTTCATGCAAATTATATCATCCCAATGCTATCTTGGCTATGCATTTATGTTTCTTGTGATTCAGTTGGCTTTGAAATGCATAATCTAAATAAAGATTTAAGCCCTGTCTAAATTAGTCAAATATTCTAATTCATAGAATTACCAAATATAACTTTGACAGACATGACTATGTAATAAAAAATTATCAAACCTGTTATAAAGAAATTTTTCCATGACAAAGAAGTGCTAAAAGGATGCCCTATATTCGGCGAATTTTAGTCATAATAATCTCAAAAAAAAAGACCCAAGAAAGTTTGCATGAATTGACTAAATAGGTGATCTCAAAAGAATGGTGGAGACAACGAACTAACAATCCAAACCAGAACTAATCAAAAATTTTTCTAATAGTTTTTAATTTGTGAATAAAATCTGAAGGTTTTGAATGATTCTTAAATAAGAGCTATATTTGTTGGTCAAAAAGTAATTAATACAAACTTTAAGTAAACGGGATATGCAGTGCCATACGGGTATGATATTAAAGAGATCAATGTATTAGAATTAGAATAAGGCATAAATTTTTTCTTGATATTCGTCCAATGATAGTGGTGTGTAACATCATGTGATATATGTTTCAGGTTACCTGGGTAGCATAACCCTGACCCAGTTAAGGATGCTTATACGGGTTACCCGAGTAAGCCTTATCCGGGCTTAATTTCTAATTGTATCTAAATTAATATACTGTAATATTAGATTTAAAAATTTTAAGCCATAATATAATGAATAACAACGAACTTGCAAAAGCTTCATTCATGTTATTTGCTTCTATTCATTAACTGGTTGGGAAATATCTACAACTATCTCAAGATTCATATATATACTCAACATCTATAAGTTTTTCATAAACTATATATTTCAAGCTTTTCGGATTTTCTTTTTGCTTGCGAATATCATTTAAATTTTGATCTTCACGTTTCTGTTTTATGCTTCCATTTACACAGGTTGTGTACTTAAAACATGACTTATTATTATTTTAAAATGCAGTTTTTTGGTTTCAAGATGAATAAAGTTGTGTGTTATAATTTAGAAAATATTTGTATTAAAATATTCAAAGAAATAAAATTTTCATTGTAAATTGTTATTATTCTTACATATGTAACATTGATCAAATGTTGTCATTATTGTATTGATCATTAATTTTAATTTTAATATTGGCAATAAATTTAAGCTCCATTATACGTAACTGATTTTGGTGGCGATACTAGGTGGGTTCAGAATATTGACAATCGCTATGTAAGTTCGAGAAATCATCAATGTGATGATCAAAAAGAAAGAGAAATGCCAAACCCACTTTTTCAGTCAATGGTTCTGTAGGTGATTTGAATGACGACCAAGTTGCAGAAATTGATGGAATTATTGTAAATAAGGTAATACAATGAAAACAGCTTGATATCTTTCACTGCAACCACAGATAACTGGCTTGCTTTTTTCGAACATAACTCTTGGGGAAATATGATATGAACAAAAGTTATAGAATAATTCAAAAAAGAAAAATTATGAGTATAGTATGCTATTATGATTGTTTTTCACAAATGATGTGTGTGTTTTTTTTTTGCTTAACCACTAAATAATTTTAGGTCTATTGAATCCAGGATTGTGGATCTTTCAAATTGGATGCAAGTAGAATAGAACTATTTGCAATTATTTATCAAGTCAAGAAAAAAGCTCTGTAAAGAGAAGATTGACAAGAATGTGCAACAATTGCTACGTGGTAAATCTGGTCGGATTGTAAGTCATTTTTATTTATGCAGTTGCTTGCTTTTTACAACACATTTAGAGATTATAATGGTATTTTGGCAGCAGTATTAAATGATCTAGAATCATGGAAAAAATATGTTTACAAACTTAACACCATCTAAAGATTCATGATTAACTGTTGTAATAATAGAGTTTTGTAAGTATACATTTGAATACTTTGAATGAGATAAAACTGGAAATTCATTAGATTTTTCTCTTTGGAAATATTCACTGGTTAAATTTAGCCATCTCTGTTTATGAAGAGAGATCAATGTCCTGGTCATGCAATATCGAGAACAGGACTTTATTGTTAAGATTCTTGGTCTAATAATTGGCATGCTTTTAGAAGAATTTGATATCAGTACTTTTGAGCTTAACTGGTAAGTAATGAATTTTTTTTTTTTTTTGAGTTAAGGAGACCTCTTTGTCCTGAAAGCTTTTATTAGGATTTGAAACGGTGTTTTATACGCAATTACAACGATGGTACATTAAGCTACACATGCACCTTTTGAGTGCCTAATTTAAGTAGTTCGCCCGAAGGTTCTACACTATCTGCCGTACCTGCACCTCAACTAGGGGAGTGTTCATTTAAACCATCTGGTTATAACTATCACCGGTTAACCACTTAACCCCAGGTTTACTCACCATTTATATATAGATTTTGTATCACCTTGGCAAAGGATTACTG